TATTTTATATTTGAGATTCTTCAAAGTAGCTAACCTTTGCCTTGACAGCTTTGCACACTCTTGGCATTCTCTCAACCAGCATCACCTGGAATGCTTTTCCAACAGTCTTGAAGGAGTTCCCACATATGCTGAGCACTTGTTGGCTGCTTTTCCTTCACTCTGCGGTCCAACCATCTCAATTGGGTTGAGGTCGGGAGATTGTGTAGGCCAGGTCATCTGATGCAGCACTCCATCACTCTCCTTCATGGTCAAATATCCCTTACACAGCCTGGAGTTGTGTTGGGTCATTGTCCTGTTGAAAAACAAATGATAGTCCCACTATGCGTAAACCAGATGGGATGGCGTATCGCTGCAGAATGCTGTGGTAGCCATGCTGGTTAAGTGTGCCTTGAATTCTAAATAAATCACAGACAGTGTCACCAGCAAAGCACCCCCACACCATCACACCTCCTCCTCCATGCTTCACGGTGGGAACCACACATGCATTCACCTACTCTGCGTCTCACAAAGACACAGCGGTTAGAACCAAAAATCTCAAATTTTGACTCACCAGACCAAAGGACTGATTTCCACCAGTCTAATGTCCATTGCTCGTGTTTCTTGGCCCAAGCAAGTCTCTTATTATTATTGGTGTCCTTTAGTAGGTGTCTTTGCAACAATTCGACCATGAAGGCCTGATTCACGCAGTCTCTTCTGAACAGTTGATGTTGAGATGTGTCTGTTACTTGAACTCTGTGAAGCATTTAATTGGGCTGCAATTTCTGAGGCTGGTAACTCTATTGGATTTATCCTCTGCAGCAGAGGTAACTCTAGGTCTTCCTTTCCTGTGGCGGTCCTTATGACAGCCAGTTTCATCATAGCTCTTGATGGTTTTTGCGACTGCACTTGAAGAAACGTTCAAAGTTCTTGAAATGTTCCGTATTGACTGACCTTCATGTCTTAAAGTAATGATGGACTGTCGTTTCTCTTTGCTTATTTCAGCTGTTCTTGCCATAATATGGACTTGGTCTTTTACCAAATAGGGCTATCTTCTGTATACCACCCCTACCTTGTCACAATACAACTGATTGGCTCAAACGTATTAAGGAAATAAATTCCACAAATTAACTTTTAACAAGGCACACCTATTAATTGAAATGCATTCCAGGTGGCTACCTGATGAAGGTGTGCAAAGCTGTCATCAAGACAAAGGGTGGCTACTTTGAAGAATCTCAAATATATTTGTTTAACCCTTTTTTGGGTACTACATGATTCCATATGTGTTGTGTCATAGTTTTGATCTATTCACTATTATTGTAGTGTAGAAAATAGTACAAATAAAGAAAAACCCTTGAATGAGTAGGTGTGTCCAAACTTTTGACTGGCACTGTATATCAGAACTGCATTAACGTCTTCAATTTTACTTTTAAACAATTTAATTCACAATACTCAAATGTTTGCACTGTTCTACTATAGTTCAGTCAAGATTCTTCAATAGACCATCAATTTCAACATCTCACCTCAAAAGCAACATTTCACATCTCTTAAGTACACCAATCTTTTCACCATGTGTAAAACACACTGATCTCATTTCAGTAACATTGGGAAACTTCATATCCATTAAGAGGTAAATAATCTGACATGAAATTATGAAATGTGCAAGAATTGCCCAACAACTCATAATTATCCAATTTGAGAGCAGTATCCAGATAATAACCATTGAATTATAACCCTTTTAAATATCAAACACCAACATATCGTTCTTGAAATGCATTGTTATAGAGCTGTACACTAATGACTGATTGATAAACTGACTCAATAACATTGTGGCAACATATGGCATTTCTCAGAGCAGAAGTGAGAGGTTCAGAATCCCACTTCCTCACCTAAACCCCCTGTAGACTTCAAGGAACAGTTTTCCAGACAGATTAAGCCTAGTCCGGGACTAAAAAGCATGGTCAATGGAAAATCTCCATTGAAATAGCTTCTTAGTCCAGGGCTATACTTAATCTGTGTCCGAGAAACTGCTCCCAAGAGATTGATTGTATCGGATAAGAAAACGTCTCCTCACTGCAGATACAAGCATGTAACAGCACAGACCCATGACTATGGATATAGAAGACCCAGAAACAGGGCTAGAGAAACAGGGCAGAAAAACAGATGTCTTTAGGGACAGGGCATGGTGTAGCACCAGAGTTAAATGGGCTGAGGTTGGGGTTGAGAGTACTGTGTAGTACCATTTTCACACTCCTGAGCCAAGCCAAGCCTGAGCTGTTCTGGGCTGACTTGAAAATGCATCCACCATAGTTTCTGGAACCGTGCTGGAAAGGATAATGTGAAAATTAAATATCTGAGCCAGCACAGTACGGTTTAGGTTGGCCCTCCGTGAATCAGGCATAGTTGGGATAGAGAGCTAAGCCTTAGGGTGGGGTAGGTAGGGGGTATTACAACTGAGCTCCAGGGTTCATAAATATGTAGTTAGAGCAGGGGGAGGTTGATACTTCACAGTCCAGTGAGCTTTAATCAGGATGTGGACAAATTAAATTATTTCAGTAAGAGGGCTCAGACTCCCTCTCGGGGGGGGGGGTTAGGGTGTGTCCCCCTGGTTTATCTCCCTCACACACCGTCTCTCTGGGGCTCTGGAGAGGGTCCCTCTTAAAGCTCCAGCACTGCGGGAGCTCAGCCAATGAGGGGGAATCCCCAACCTGCCTTGGCAGCAGCTAATGGGGATCCATAATAAATACAAATACAATCAACTGGAACCAGGCCTACTTTAACAACAGGGGATCCCGACTAATATATTATTGTAAAAGTGAGGTAATAAGTCTTTGCTATAGTTCACTAATGTGCATTCTGGGACAAACTGATGCTCATCTCAGAAGATTATTATTTTTTTATTTTACCTTTATTTAACCAGGTAAGCCAGTTGAGAACAAGTTCTCATTTACAACTGCGATCTGGCCAAGATAAAGCAAAGCAGTGCGATAAAAACAACACAGAGTTACATATGGGGTAAAAAAACATAAAGTCAAAAATACAACAGAAAATATATATACAGTGGTGCAAATGTAGCAAGTTATGGAGGTAAGGCAATAAATAGGCTATAGTGCAAAATAATTACAATAGTATTAACACTGGAATGCTAGATGTGCAAGAGATTATGTGCAAATAGAGATACTGGGGTGCAAAAGAGCAAAATAAATAACAATATAGGGATGAGGTAGTTGGGTGGGCTAATTTCAGATGGGCTGTGTACAGGTGCAGTGATCGGTAAGGTGCTCTGACAACTGATGCTTAAAGTTAGTGAGGGAGATAAGAGTCTCCAGCTTCAGAGATTTTTGCAATTCGTTCCAGTCATTGGCAGCAGAGAACTGGAAGGAATGGCGGCCAAAGGAGGTGTTGGCTTTGGGAATTACCAGTGAGATATACCTGCTGGAGCGCAGACTACGGGTGGGTGCTGCTATGGTGACCAATGAGCTAAGATAAGGCGGGGATTTGCCTAGCAGTGATTTATAGATGGCCTGGAGCCAGTGGGTTTGACGACGAACATGTAGTGAGGACCAGCCAACAAGAGCGTACAGGTCACAGTGGTGGGTAGTGTATGGGGCTTTGGAGACAAAACGGATGGCACTGTGATAGACTACATCCAGTTTGCTGAGTAGAGTGTTGGAGGCTATTTTGTAAATGACATCGCCGAAGTCAAGGATCGGTAGGATAGTCAGTTTTACGAGGGCATGTTTGGCAGCATGAGTGAAGGAGGCTTTGTTGCGAAATAGGAAGCCGATTCTAGATTTAACTTTGGATTGGAGATTCTTAATATGAGTCTGGAAGGAGAGTTTACAGTCTAACCAGACACCTAGGTATTTGTAGTTGTCCACATACTCTAGGTCAGACCCGTCGAGAGTGGTGATTCTAGTGGGGTGGGCGGGTGCCAGCAGCGTTCGATTGAAAAGCATGCATTTAGTTTTACTAGTGTTTAAGAGCAGTTGGAGGCTACTGAAGGAGTGTTGTATGGCATTGAAGCTCGTTTGGAGGTTTGTTAACACAGTGTCCAATGAAGGGCCAGATGTATACAAAATGGTGTCGTCTGCGTAGAGGTGGATCTGAGAGTCACCAGCAGCAAGAGCGACATCATTGATATACACGGAGAAAAGTGTCGGCCCAAGAATTGAACCCTGTGGCACCCCCATAGAGACTGCCATAGGTCCAGACAACAGGCCCTCCGATTTGACACACTGAACTCTATCTGAGAAGTAGTTGGTGAACCAGGCGAGGCAGTCATTTGAGAAACCAAGGCTATTTAGTCTGCCAATAAGAATGCGGTGGTTGACAGAGTCGAAAGCCTTGGCCAGGTCGATGAAGACGGCTGCACAGTACTGTCTATTATCAATCGCGGTTATAATATCGTTTAGGACCTTGAGTGTGGCTGAAGTCCACCCATGACCAGCTCGGAAACCGGATTGCATAGCGGAGAAGGTACGGTGGTATTCGAAATGGTCGGTGATCTGTTTGTTAACTTGGCTTTCAAATACTTTCGAAAGGCAGGGCAGGATGGATATAGGTCTGTAGCAGTTTGGATCTAGAGTGTCACCCCCTTTGAAGAGGGGGATGACCGCGGCAGCTTTCCAATCTCTGGGGATCTCAGACGTTATGAAAGAGAGGTTGAACAGACTAGTAATAGGGGTTGCGACAATTTCGGCGGCTAGTTTTAGAAAGAAAGGGTCCAGATTGTCTAGCCCAGCTGATTGTGTTAAGGTAGACAGAGTTAAGCGCAGTTTTGCATATTATTGGCAAATTAAACATTCTCAGTATGGATATTTGTCCTATAATACCTAATAATGTAGTGATTACCATACCCCACACAGCCATGGTAGATAACATACCTAACATGTAAAACAAAACGGAACAAAACAAGATTAAACACACCAACAGAGACAAACTCAAAAATGCTGAGTCGTAAAAAAAAAAAAAAAAAAAAAAAACACTTAAACACAACATCTTACAAGCCCATGGGGGCCTGTTCAGCCGAAGTCTCGGTCGGGAAACATGAGAGGGGCGAGCAGAGTCCAGAGGTAGAGGCCCAGGCCCAGCCAACTGGAGCTGATCTTCACCCACACAGCTGGCATACTGCTCTGCATGGCCTGGGTGGTGGTGTCAGGCCTGAGGAAGGAAGGGAGAAGGTGTCAGTTTAAAGAGTGTATCTTTATAGTGGCTTTCTATCCTCGTCTCATCCCTTTAATTTAGACTGATCTGAAAACACAGAACAGGTCAGAGCAATATGGTGGATTAATGCTGCCTATCAGGGATTTGCTTTCACACAAAGGCTATTGAGATTCACCCAAATAAATATCCCTCCTGATCCCATGGCTTTCAAACTGACAAGGAATACATACACAACCTACCCAATAGGACACCTAGAAATATTTGAAAATGTTCTAACATTTCTATAGAGCTGTGGCTCTGCTGGTCAGCTGTTACTGTACTTACTGGTACCAGTTGGTGAGTGTCATCATGATGTAGAGGGAGGCCAAGCAGAGGTGGAAGTGGAAGAAAGATTAGCTGTAGGTGACCCCCTCCTCCTCATTATCCACGGCCCGCCGCACATTGTCCTCCCCTACCTCGCCCTCTCCTCCATAACCCCCGCCCTCCTCGGTCTGCATCAGCTTGTTCACCTGGGTGTTGCTGGACGAACGGATACTGACGGAGGGAGTCAAATCAAATCAAGCTTTATTTATACAGCACATTTCAGACATGGAATGCAACACAATGTGCTTCACATAAAAAAACTAATAAAAACTAAAACTGAAATATTTACTACACAACAAAAATAAGAGGATAAAAAACAAAAGAATAACAATAAAAACTGAATGACTAAAAAGCACCATAAGGAAAAGCTAAGCTAAAAAGGTGTGGGAACGCGGGAAAGAGAATGGAAAAAGTGAATGAGACAGACATAGAGAAAGGGAGAAAGAAGAGAGAAGGGGAGAGAGAGGTGTGGAGAGACAAATAGAGAGAGACCAGGGGTCAGCATGGGAGATCTCTCAAGATCATAGCATAACAGACAATTCAATAAGCAGCCATGATATGGATCCAAATTGGAGTAGCTAGCTACCTGGCATAGAGAGTGCAGAAGAGGAAGATGACCAAACCCACGATGCTCTGGGCGTCCCACCACTGCACCAGTCCTGGGGCATTGGTGGGTGTGGGCTCACTGGAGCTGACATTTGACACCAGACTCAGCAGGCTGGGGTTACACTTACGATCTGAGACACACACACAGCAAATCAGCCATAGAATGTAGGATAGTTATGTGGAAGAAAAAAAACACATAAAGCGACCTGCAGTCTTGAGGAAGGCAACAGCCAGGGCTCTAAACCTACTATTACAACAGATGTGTCTCTTAATTACAACACTTGATCGCAGGCTCTTATAGAGACACTCCAACACCTGTCTGAGCTTTTCTACTGACCCACTACAAGCACAAGTACAAGCATGGAACATAAGTAGGACCAGGAGTTTTTCCTGACCATGTGACTTAACCAGAAAACAACTCCAGGCCCTAGTAAATGTAACAGGTTGGGGAAGGGGGGTGAACTACCAAAGTATGCCAAACTCACCAGTAGGTAACACTCATAGTGCTGCAGTGGTTTGGAAAGCAAAGATAAACTGGAGGGAGAAAGTCAAAATGACAACAATGGCAGAAACTCTGTTGAAACTGGAATGGGAAAGAGGCTGAGACTCACCTGGGTTGTTGGTCATGGCGGACCAGGTGACATACATGGTGTAGAGGGAGATGAGAGAGGCCTGGAGCAGACCAGACTGGGGCTTCCTGTGACTGGCACTGGTAAACACATGTATGCGGTGGAACAAATTCATCACCATGCAATGCATACAATTGTCAACACCGTTATCAACAAAAACGGACTAATAAAAGCATTCCCTTACCAAACATTGTATCAATTATTACTGATATATTTGCTAAAACTGTTCCTTCATTTGAGAAGGAGGGCAATGAAACAGCCACAATACCTGTACTTTGGGCAGGATGGAGACGATGGAGATGATGACGCTGAAGATGAGGTTGAGGCTGATGAAGACCTTGTGCTCGGTGCAGTCGTCAGGCTGGGTGTAGTAGATGTAGAACAGCACCACTGAGGTGAAGGCCAGTGCGTAGTGGAGGAAGGTGAATGACAACAGGCCTGAGGGAGAGAGGGGCAACATGGAGAGGGTTGGTAAAAACAGTCATGTATGACGAACACCCCCATACTCTTCAGATGCATATACTGGTTCTATGTTCTCTCTAGAACAGTGTTCTTTAATCCTGTTCCTGGACAGCCACAATGAGTGCAGGCTTTTGTTCCAGTCCATTACTACTAACACCACATTCAATGTATCCAACGTATCAAGGGTTGATGATTAGTTGATTGGCTAGTTAAATCAGGTATTAGTATATGGCTGGAACAAATGCATGCACACCCTGTGGGCCCCCAGGAGCAGGAAGAACCCTGCTGCTCTAGAATAATAAACACAGTCATGGTAGTATAACTTCTTGAGCAGCATTAAGGTACTATGTCCTCTGGAGAAAGTACTGTAACTGTACCTGCAAACCAGCACTTTGAGTTGCCCTCTTCGGCATTCCCCACCCATATCTTGTTCCAAGAGTGGGCAAAGTCGATGAGAAGGATGAGCTGGATGACGATGAAGATGAAGGAGCCAACCACGCCAAAGTAAAACCACACTGTCGGGGGAGGTAAGAGACGGATCAATAAACAAATAAATACAACCCACTTCCTGGATCCCATAGCATGGGATGGACAGACATGGTGATTGACATCAAGTTTAACTAACACTAGGGCATTGTGAGGGAATGAAATGTGAGTTTTCCATTGTTTATAAAAGTATACACTACATGACCAAAAGTATGTGGACACCTGTTCGTCAAACATCTTATTCCAAAATCATGGACATTAATAAGGAGTTGGTCCCCCCTTTGCTGCTATAACAGCCTCCACTCTTCTGGGAAGGCTTTCCACTAGATGTTGGAACATTGCTGCGGGGACTTGCTTCCATTCAGCCACAAGAGCTTTAGCGAGGTCGGGCACTGACGTTGGGCGATTAGGCCTGGCTTGGAGTCGGCGTTCCAATTCATCCCAAAGGTGTTCAATGGGGTTGAGATCAGGGCTCTGTGCAGGCCAGTCAAGTTCTTCCAAACCATTTCTGTATGGACCTCGCTTTGTGCACGGGGGCATTGTCATTCTAAAATAGGAAAGAGCCTTCCCCAAATTGTTGCCACAAAGTTGGAAGCACAGAATCGTCTTGAACGTCATTGTATGCTGTAGCTTTAAGATTTATCTTCACTGGAACTAAGGGTCCTAGCCCGAACCATGAAAAACAGTCCCAGACAATTATTTATCCTCCACCAAACTTTACAGTTTGCACTATGCATTTGAGAAGGTAGCGTGTTCTCCTGGCATTCTCCAAAACCAGATTTGTCCGTCGGACTGCCAGATGGTGAAGCGTGATTCATCACTCCAGAGAACGCGTTTCCACTGCTCCAGAGTTCAATGGTGGCGAGCTTTACACCACTCCAGCCCACATTTGGCATTGCGCATGGTGATCTTAGGCCATGGAAACCCATTTCATGAAGCTTCTGACGAACAGTTCTTGTGCTGAAGTTCCTTCCAGAGGCAGTTTGGAACTCGGTAGTGGGTGTTGCAACCGAGGACAGATTATATTTACACGCTTCAGCACTCGGCGGTCCCGTTCTGTGAGCTTGTGTGGCCTACCACTTCGCGGCTGAGCCGTTGTTGCTCCTAGACGTTTACACTTCACAATAACAACACTTACAGTTGACCGGGGCAGCTCTAGCAGGGCAAAACATTTGACGAACTGACTTGTTGGAAAGGTGGCATCCTATAACGGTGCCATGTTGAAAGTCACTGAGCTCTTCAGTAAGGCCATTCTACAGCCAATGTTTGTCTATGGAGATTGCATGGCGGTGTGCTCGACTTTATACACCTTTTAGCAACGGGTGTGGCTGAAATAGTCAAATCCACTAATTTGAAGGGGTGTCCACATACTTTTGTATATATAGTGTATAACAGTGTGGTTATTGTGCTTTGCCTATAGGTTCACTCTCCTACTTCCTTTATCAAATATTGTGTGGTTATATTTGAATGCATTATAATTTTCAGCTTGGTAATAAATAGGATAAGTAAGTGAGGGATGTCCTATTTTAGTTTATATAAACACAGTGCAGACCATATTTAAAAAGTAATTGCTTTCTTTCTTGCAGTAAACAATGTGCTAGTTCAACAGAATTAAATTGGCTTCTACATTATTTGATTACTTCCCAGTGATGGCTATAAGATAAATATTTTGGTGAGCCCTGAAATGCAATTTTTTAGATTTGTCTGATTGCTTTTGTTCACAAGAGCATAAACAGCATACTTTACATGTAATAACTCAATCGCTCAAGGTTGAGGATCTTTCAGAGGGAAAATGTTTTTCCACCGATGCACTGTACCCTGAACATAACAATGTTCCTGTTTGCTAGTCATTTGCCAATGATTAAGCCAGTACTGTCAGAAGTCACTTGGCAGTCATTTAAAGTTTACTGTGATCATCAAAGTACCAGTATTGAAGGTTCCATCTGGGATGAAGAAGGCTCCCACAGTGATGCCAACCAGGATCAGAAACTTAAAGAACCAGAAACAGGGAAGAAAACACAGGTTTCACATAGACTGTGACACAAAAGCATAGTACGTCCAAATTTTTTTATGAGTCTTCTCTAAGAGAAGCCAGTGAACTTGAGCCTGAAAGTTACAAAAAGGTCTTATACATGATTTGTACACAACTTATTACAGTACTAACCCAAAATGGGTTGAAATGACATAGACCGGTTTCTGATTGTCATTATGTCACTTCAAACCGTTTCGCCGACTGGAAATACAAACGGTGAAGTGGTGGGGCGGCAGGTAGCCTAGCGGTTAAAGGTGAGCCAGCAACCGGAAGGTGCCAGTTCGAATCCCGGGTCTGACGGGAAAAATCTGGGGGGGAAGTAAGCTGGAGGGTTGCTGGTATCAAATCCTCAAATTGCCTGCCGTTGTGCCCTTAAGCAAGGCGCTTAAGCCCCCACACCTGCTCCACAGGCGCCCAGTGTTGCAGCCCCCCGCTCCAACCTGTATATGTATGTGTGTCTTTCGGGGGGGCTGGGAAAAAGCAGAGGTCACATTTTGGTTGGACCTTGTATACAATTGATTAATAAAGTGATCTTAATCTTAATTGGAGCTCACCCATTCTGAATGGCTGCACGCGGGTCTTTGCTGCTCTGGATGCGGACCATGATGGCTGAGAAGAGGAAGAAGAAGCAGGTAATGGTGAAGCACATGGACTTGTAGCCCACAATGACATCACAGTTAAACTGGTTCTCCATGCCTGGTATGGTACTCTCACCCTGACAGAAGCCTGGGATCTAGAGGGGGAAAGGATAAAAAGGGCATTTCAATGTCATTTTGAGTAGCGTTTCTAAAAAGACATCGTCACAGAAAGTGCTAGAATTATTTTTTGTTTTACTCCTAGGAAATGCATTCAGGTGTTACGCTCTTACGTCACACGTTGACATTGTCCGACAAATACTTCCACCACACACACTAGTGATGCACGGGCTGACTCATAACCCGCAGTCCCCATGGTTATATACGCGGGGCATGCAGGTTTAGGATAATGAAATGTTGTGTGGATGAAGGGCAGGTGGGTGGCGGTCAGGTCATAAAATTAACTTTTTTGTCCACCAGCCACTCAAGATTTTTTTTTACCAGCCCAAATTACAAATGTGCACTAAAATTACATCAACATCAAAACGGATGAGCATGCTTTGTAATGTTTCTAAAACAAATGTATTACTAGTAAGAAGCAATGTGGTATATGGTTAATTTTAATTTCAGGGTTCGTACAGACAGTGGCAAGTCAAATTCAAGGACTATCAAGTACTTTTTCAAGCACTAATATTTATTTTCAAGGACCATCAATTTGTAATAGTTCCAATTATGCAATTGTTTCTAGTTGCCACAAGATCGCAGTATATTGCCACAACCTCATGAAAAAAACAAACTACCTTACTATTCATCACTACCTTACAAGTTCTACTCAATAATATGTGTTTCACTACTTATTTACTACACACAAGTGGTAAGTCAGTACTGATGATGTTGACTGATTTCCTTATATGAACTGTAACTCAGTAAAATCTTTGAAAATGTTGCATTTTGCATTTATATTTTTGTTCAGTGTACATGATAATGTTATTAATGTGTTTATTAAGATTAAAGATTCTCTCAGGGGACCTGATTTACATTTTAAGGTACCCCACATGGGTCCCGTACCCCAAGTTTGGGAACCACTGTACTACTAACCTCTCTCCCTGCTTGCTTCAATGCTTCCTCTTTCTTTGTATCTCATTTGCCTCCTTCATTGCTGCCTGACTCACCACTGTCTGTCTCACTACTCTCTGTGAATAAAAGGTATTTTGTTATGAGAAATTATAGTAGCCCATCTTTTGATCATAGCTAGCTTAATTTCAGTCATCTGCTCCTGCTGTCAGGCTCCGTTCAACATTAGCTTCTAAATTCACCCTTCTAGCCAGCTAGTTATAGCTAGCTACCTGGCTAATAGCCAGAGCCCTTGAGCTACCTAGCTAGCTAGACATCTGACTGAAATATCAGCGACTATTGACCAGTTGTACACTCATTCTCAGAGAGTCAGGGGGTTTTTGTTTGGGGGATGTCTGTTGACACGGTAGGAGTTGAGGGATGTAAAAAAATAAATCCCACTCTCTGCCACTTGCCACTGTAGGTCTGGGCTGAGGTAGTTTGTTTCACCTCTCGGCCTATGTCGTAGGCAGAGGTTCCCGTTGGACAGAGTGGTGAATGACAGCGCTGCTAACAAGGCAAATCTGGGGTAGCAGGCGAACATAACAAGCATACACGAATCCCTCATGACTCCACTTGTTCGCAGAGGTAGGCGTAATTAGTAGAACTCCGATCAAAAAGCCTTTTGAGCGTTTTTCAACGCTGTGAAAGCAATAATAAGTGGGAAAACAAATAAAAAGGTCCGTAAACGGCGTTTACCCTCCACTACATCCCTGGTTGGGTCTGATAAAAAAATCCATTCAGAAACATCAATATCCTGACAGGCAGGATTAAATCTACATTTGCCTGGAATTTTAGCTATCGATATGACGTATGGCAACGCTTAAATCAGTCAGTTCTGTACATGCCTGGATGAGTGCCAGTGTGGGTGGAACGAGCAAACTCGCCTGGCAACCAGAGCGCGAAACACGTGAGGAAATAAAACGATGTAATCTGCCTGGAAATTCGCAAGACCAATACATTTTTCTAATATTTTTCATGTTAACATATTTGATCATTTTCTGTTCTCCTCTCATTTTAATTCAGGTACTTTTTAAGTACCAATCTAAGAAAATGTCTGATTTTCAAGGTAATCCAGTACTTGAATTTCAGCAAGCCAAATTCAAGTACTTTAAGCACCTTGTGCCAACCCTGTAATTTTTTGTGACTTGAGTCTTTTAACCAAAATATCACAGATGAGACAAAAAGATTAACCTGCCCCTTTAAGTGCAGGAGGTTACCGTGGTAGCACGACTGGAGTCATGTTTGTGCATGTGAGATTGAGTCTGACTTTGAAACTCAAACATAGAAAAACAACCTCACTTGTCAACAAAACAATGTATACTGAAAAAATATATAAACGGTCCCATATAAACGGTCCCAAGGTGTTGGTCCCATGTTCCATGAGCTGAAATAAAAGATCCCAGACATTTTCCATACGCACAAAAAGTGTATTTCTCTCAAATGTTTTGACCAAATTTGTTTACAGCCCTGTTAGTGATCATTTCTCATTTGCCAAGATAATCCATGCACCTGACAGGTGTGGCATATCAAAAAGATGATTAAACAGCATGATCATTACACAGGTGCACCTTGTGCTGGGGACAATAAAGGGCCACTAAAATGTGCAGTTCTGTCACACAACACAATACCACAGATGTCTCAAGTTGAAGGAGTGTGCAATTGGCATGCTGACTGCAGGAGTGTCCACCAGAGCTGTTGCCAGAGAATGTAATGTTAATTTCTCTACCATAAGCCGCCTCCGTCATTTTAGAGAATTAGGCAGCACTTCCAATCGGCCTCACAACCGCAGACCACATGTAACCACGCCAGCCCAGGACCTCCACATCCGGCTTCTTATTTTACATTTACATTTTAGTCATTTAGCAGACGCTCTTATCCAGAGCGACTTACAGGAGCAATTAGGGTTAAGTGCCTTGCTTAAGGGCACATCGACAGATTTTTCACCTAGTCGGCTCGGGGATTAGAACCAGCGACCTTTCGGTTACTGGCACAACGCTCTTACCCACTAAGCTACCTGCCGCCCCAGGATCATCTGCAGGATCATCTGAGGGGGCGCTGAGGAGTATTTCTGTCTGTAATAAAGCCCTTATGTGGGGAATAACTCATTCTGAGTGGGTGGGCCTGGCTCCGAAGTGGGTGGGTATATTCCTTCCCAGGCCCACCCATGACTGCGCCCTTGCCCAGTCATGTGAAATCCATAGATTAGGGCCTAATGAATTCAGCCAGGCAGTGTTGCAGCACTGGTGGAACAGGCTATTTAGGATTAATGATTCCTTGACTTTGTGCGATTAATTTACTAGCTATGAAACAAAACAGTAGAAATACTTTCAAAACAGCTACTGCAGAATTTATTTTACTATAAATGTGTTCATAATTTCCTATTTTTTTTCACAAATGCGAGTGAAACGCTCGCACTGTGGAGCCCTGACCATCCGCCAACGTGGCTAGTGAAATAGACATCTTACCCGCCAATGCCAAATTCTACCCGCATGTGGCTGGTGTTAATTTTAGGCCCTCGTGGCAGTTGGACTCAAACAATACATACAAAAAGCCATACATGTATAATTCTTGTGAAATGTACACTACAGCTCAAAAGTTTTAGAACATCTACTCATTCAAGGGTTTTTCTTTATTTTTGCTATAGTGAAGACATCAAAACGATGAAATAACACATTTGGATCATGTAGTAACCAAAAAAGTGTTAAACAAATCAAAATATATTTTATATTTGAGATTCTTCAAATAGCCACCCTTTGCCTTGATGACAGCTTTGCACACTCTTGGCATTCTCTCAACCAGCTTCATGAGGTAGTCACCTGGAATGCATTTCAAATAACAGGTGTGCCTTCTTAAAAGTTAATTTGTGGAATTTCTTTCCTTCTTAATGCGTTTGAGCCAATCAGTTGTGTTGTGACAAGGTATACAGAAGACAGCCCTATTTGGTAAAAGACCAAGTTCATATTATGGCAAGAACAGCTCAAATAACCAAAGAGAAACGACAGTCCATCATTACTTTAACACATGAAGGTCAGTCAACACGGAAAATGTAAAGAACTTGAACAGTTTCTTCAAGTGCAGTTGCAAAAACCATCAAGCGCTATGATGAAACTGGCTCTCATGAGGACCGCCACAGGAATGGAAGACCCAGAGTTACCTCTGCTGCAGAGGATAAGTTCATTAGAGTTACCAGCCTCAGAAATTGCAGCCCAAATAAATGCTTCACAGAGTTCAAGTAACAGACACATCTCAACATAAACTGTTCAGAGGAGACTGTGTGAATCAGGCCTTCATGGTCGAATTGCTGCAAAGAAACCACTACTTAAGGACACCAATAATAAGAATAAGAATATAATAATAATATGCCATTTAGCAGACGCTTTTACCCAAAGCGACTTACAGTCATGTGTGCACACATTTTTACGTATGGGTGGTCCCGGGGATCGAACCCACTACCCTGGCGTTGCAAACGCCATGCTCTACCAACTGAGCTACACAGGGCCAAGAAGAGACTGCTCGTGTTTCTTGGCCCAAGCAAATGGACATTAGACCTGTGGAAATGTGTCCTTTGGTCCAATACGCCTTCCCATCTGGTTTGGGCTTAGTGGGACTATCATTTGTTTTTCAACAGGACAATGACCCAACACACCTCCAGGCTGTGTAAGGGCTATTTTACCAAGAAGGAGAGTGATGGAGTGCTGCATCAGATGACCTGGCCTCCACAATCCCCCGACCTCAACCCAATTGAGATGGTTTAGGATGAGTCGGACGGCAGAGTTAAGGAAAAGCAGCCAACAAGTGCTCAGCATATGTGGGAACTCCTTCAAGACTGTTGGAAAAGCATTCCAGGTGAAGCTGGTTGAGAGAATGCCAAGAGTGTGCAAAGCTGTCATCAAGGCAAAGAGTGGCTATTTGAAGAATCTCAAATATAAAATCTATTTTTGTCACACGCTGATCTGTTTCACCTGTCTTGTGATTGTCTCCACCCACCTTCAGGTGTCGCACATTTTCCCCATTATCCCCTGTGCATTTATACCTGTGTTTTTTGTTTGTCTGTTGCCAGTTCATCTTGTCTCGTCAAGCCTACCAGCGTTTTTTCCTGTACTCTAGTTTCTCGTTAGTTCCTGTTTTCTAGTTCTCCCAGTTTTGACCATTCTGCCTGCCATGACCCTGAGCCTGCCTGCCGTTCTGTACCTTACAGACTCTGCCTTGGATTACTGACCTCTGCCTGCCCTGTTGTTTGCCTGCCCCCCTGTTTTGTAAATAAACTTTTGTTATTTCGAACTGTCTGCATCTGGGTCTTATCCTGAGGTCTGATAGTAGGAACTGGCCATGACTGACCCAGCAGACTCGGACCAGCTCCGCAACGCCGTCTCCTCCCAGGGAGACACCATTGGGAGTTATGAGGAGTTACTTCGGGGTCTTATGGAAGGATTCCAGACCTTGGCAGAACGCCATGATCGTGCCTTGAATATCTTGCTGGAGCAATTCAGCAGACTATCTGTGAGGCAGCCGGCCACGACAGTCACCTCCCAGCCCCTCAGTAACACCGCTGTGAGTATGTGTTCTAAAACTTTTGACCGGTAGTGTATATCTATAGGTTACATTGAGGTTTTTCTTTCATTATTTTTAGGCTATCTGGCATTAGTGCGTAAACCTAAGCTTTAGGGCCTAACTTTGCCTAAAGTGGCAAATAGCCTACACGTCAATCGCTTTTGGGAACAGGGAGAAAAAGTTGATGTTGATCCACTGAGGCAAAAAGGACAATGTCGGAGTTTAATTCAATAAGACAAAACCTGCAAAATGGAGGTGAAAATTAAGGGAAGAGTGAGCCAGAAAAGTAGGCTAATGTTTGGGGAAGATTTGGTAAAGTGTTAAAAGAGGATGATAGCAGTGCCTATGTTATGTGTGATGATTGTGAGGTGTTATACAAATTTGACAGTCACAAGACATCCATCAAATAGGCCTAGGGAACTGTAGCCTACTGTTCAGATGGGTTCAATGGAAACTGAAATCTGGACACTGACTGGAGGTCTACAACCTCTCATATAGTCTTAATATTAACTCCCGCAGAATTAAGAATTGATTGCAGTTAAACGATACACCAAATGTACATTTTGACTTGGGAACAGGAGCGGAGAAATTATTTATTTCTTTCAGCATCTTGAGAGAATGCGAATGTGTAGTTAGGGACCATCCGTAGAGGTGCTATCTTTGTCAGCATCATAAAAGCTGATATTATTTCAACCACATGAAATATGTATACTGTCACACCAGCCTTCGCTTTGGCTCCCCCTCCTTTCCAGCTCAGGCGTTCGGCGTTGAAGTCCTTCTAGCTGCTGCCGAACCTGCTGCTGGCAAACGCCCTTCACGCATCAACCCCGGACTTGTCTCGACATCATTGCACACACCTGGTTCCAATCCCTACTTCATCACCGTACATATACTCCCTCTGTCATTTGTCTTTGTCGGTCATTGTATATGTTGCTTGTTTTCCTGAGCGGTATCTCTCCTACTAATTGACAGCACCCCAGCTCACTGTAGGAGGTTTCTCCTGCAGTGTGACCTCCACCTTGCCCGTCATGCCGGGATGGCCTCAGAGGGACAAGGTGGCCTTGGTGATCTCGGGGCTGACAGGCCGGGCTCTGGAGTGGGCCCACGCCGTCTGGGAGAGGGACGGTCCAGAAGTGCAGTACTATGAGCGCTTCACCCAACTCTTCCGTGCCGTCTTCGACCACCCAACAGAGGGCCGAGAGGGAGGTGAGAGTCTCCTCCGTCTACGCCAGGGGTCCAGGACAGCGTCGTAGTACGCTCTGGATTTCCGGACGGTTGCTGCGTCCACTGGCTAGAACGACCAGGCCCTGTTGACGGTTTTCCACAGCGGGCTACAGGCGGACGTCCAGACCGAGCTGGCCTGTCGCGATGAGGATCTCATACTGGACCAGCTCATCGCCATGGCCATCCACCTGGATAACCTCCTGCGTGCCCGTCATCGCCCATCCCGGGGGTTCGGTTCTCTCCCAGGAACCTCCAGCGAGACTGAGCCCATGGAGGTGGGCACGATGCACCTTCCCCCTGCGCCGTCAACAGGGTCTCTGCTCCTACTGCGTGGAGTCGGACTACCCCTGGAACACCTGTCCCAGAAGGAGAACCGAGGAGCGCTCCTGCACCTTCCCAGGTAGGCGTGCCTTTCTCCTCTCTGTCCACCCAGCCCGTCCTCCTCCCTGTCACCTTCCCTGACTATCATGGTCCCCCACTGAGTCCTGCCCTAGTGGACTCAGGTGCTGCAGGCAATTTCCTAGACCGGTCAGTGGCCTTATCATTACGCATTCCTCCAGTCCCTTCACAACCCCCTATCCCAGTCCATGCCCTAGACAACCATCCCCTAGAAACAGGACTGGTGCGCCAGACCACGATTCCCATTTCCTTCACAGTTAATCACAACCACCATGAATGCATCACTTTCCTCATCTTAGACTCTCCTGCACACCCCGTAGTTTTAGGTTTCCCCTGGCTACAGTTGCATAACCCCAGTATATCGTGGACAGAGAGGTGGTTGTTGGGTTGGTCGCAGTAGTGTCAGAGGAGGTGTCTCTCAGTGTCAATCTGTGCCACCTCTGTGGAAAGTCCGGACCAGGCCACCCACGTCCCTATCCCGGAGGAATACCAGGACCTAAAGGTGGCCTAGGTGACACCCATTATTCCCCTGTCCCTCATTGAGGCTCCTGTCGTGTGGAATGTGGACATCCTTCGAGCCCTGTGACAGGAGTCCTCACCCGTCACAGTCCCGAGGGGCGTATCAACATGCCCTCTGATGTGCGGGACCGTCTCCTTGCCTGGGCACACACAGCACCAGTGTCGGGGCACCTGGGTATAGCCCGTACTATCGACTGTCTCTCCGCCAAGTACTGGTGGCCCACCTTGGCCCGGGGCGTCCGGGTTTACGTCTCTTCCTGCTCCACCTGCGCACAGAGTAAGACACCGAGACACCTCCCCTATGGCAAACTCCACCCGCTGTCGGCTCCACAACGACCCTGGTCCCATCTCTCTGTGGACTTTGTCACAGACCTTCCCCCCTCGGAGGGGCACACCACCGTCCTGGTCGTTGTGGACCAAAACTCTCTCCGTCACTCCTCCACTAACCTCACACCCTTTCAGTGTGTTCTAGGCTATCAGCCGGCCCTGGCACCGGAGTCAGATCGAGGCTCCTGCGGTGGAAGATTGGTTCCGGCGCGCCAAGGAGGTAAGGGAACACAGCGCACACCGGTCTCCAGCGGGTCGTCCTCCGGCAGAAGGCGCATGCCGATCGTCACCGCAGTGTGGCCCCGGTCTTTCACCCTGGTGACAGGGTCTGGCTTTCTACGAAGGACCTGCCCCTCTGCCTGCCCTGCCGGAAGCTGAGCCCGCAGTTTGTGGGGACGTTCAAAGTCCTGAGGAGAATCAATGAGGTGACGTACAGATTACAGCTCCCCGTCAATTACCGTATCTCACCCTCATTTCATGTATCTCTCCTCAGGCCGGTGGCAGCTGGTCCCTTGGCTAGTGCTGGACCCCATGACGCACCTCCCCCTCCCTTGGAAGTCAAGGGATCCCCGGCGTACTCTGTCCGCAGGCTGTTGGACTCAAGGCGTCGTGCGGGGTCTCTCCAGTACCTGGCCGAATGGGTCGTCCCCAAGGTCGGCGTCTCCCCGCTGCTGGAGCAGCGCCTTCGCTTTAGCTGCCCGTCCTGTCCAGGTCAGGCATCGCCGGCCTTCTAGCTGCTGCCGAACCTGCTGCTGGCAAACGCCCTTCACTCATGAACTCCGGACTTGTCTCGTAATCATTACACACACCTGGTTCCAATCCCCATTCTATCAATGTATATATCCTCCCTCTGTTAGTTGTCTTTGTCGGTCATTGTATATGTTGCTTGTTTTTCTGAGAGGTATCTCTCCTACTAATTCCTGAGTACTTTATATTTTGTACTGTGGGTTTCGTCCCGCTTTAAGCTTTGGTGCAGTAATATATTCAGTAGTTCTAAACCTGCGACTGCCTCTTGCCTACTCCTCTCTACACTTGTGATATATACAAGCCAAACTGATATCTTATCAGAAACATTCTGGGTTGTTTTCACAGCTTTCGATTCCTTACAACCGATCAAACTGATGTAATTTGGAAATTTTGCACAACAAAACTTTCCCTTTTGTTTTTGTTATTGCATTTTCGCCCCGGTCCCTAAATGTCTTTGCTCCGTGAAAGAAGCAGAGATGACAGAGCAAACTTTACCGATGTCAACTAGATTGAAGCATCCATTCTATAATTTATTACATTATTCTGGTCTAATTAGACAAGTTGACTTACAAATAGCCTACCAAAATGTCGGAAATTATAAGCAGAAACATATCTAAATTAGGCCAAAAAAAACTTGCACCCCGTCAAAAAATCGTTCCGTTGTCTCGGAATGTAGCCTAAGTGCATTTTCGATATTTGCGGGTTAGGGTCGGGTACGGGCCTCAGATTTTCAGTGTATCACATATAGTCGGGAGGTTGCGGATGGGTTATTAGTAATTGCGGGCAGGTGCGGGTGACCAAACAGCTGAACTAACAGCACCACTAACACACAGACACACTGACAGGAGTGTCTTACTTTTTGGAGCTGTGCCTCCATGCCAGGGAGGATCATGATGACAGACACCAGGGTCCCTAGGAGTAGAAAGAAGGAGAACACCAGCCGGGTGACGGTGGAGTTTCTGGAGGAGGGACAGCAGCCACATAGCAGACACGGAGCAGAGCCACACAGACAGGAGGCCTAGTGGAGAAAGAAGTGAGAAAGGAGTGAGAATCAGAGAACACACATAGAACAGTAGCCTGGTGGAGTTCCAGAACGAATACATCTATACAACGTTGTTAGTCACTTGTTTTATGTACAGATTGTATGCTGATGTCTTGGTGGAATCTCAGCAACAAGACAAACGGATACATGGGATCATATAGCAGGATTGAAGAAGGAAGTCATAATGAACAACACATATTATGAGACAGAGTGTCACGGATACAGCCGAGGCTGCTCCTCCTCCTTGCTCGGGCAGGCTTCGGCGTTCGTCGTCCCCGGAGTACTAGCTGCTGCCGATCGATGTTTCAGTGTTTGTCTTGTTTGGTCTTTATTGTTTACACCTGTTTCCCATTATGTTGGATTGTATTCCCTATATTACCCCCTGTCTCTCATTGGTTATTTTGTGTGTTATTGTTCGTTGTCATTCCAGCAGTTGCTTGTATGTACAGGTCTTTGTGTTTTCCTCCCTGTTTGGAGGTTTGTTGTTTTTGTACGTTGATTTTACTGTGTTCAGTAAAGTACATTGCCAGCCGCTCTGTGTCCTGCGTTTGACTTCGCTAACCGCATACACGTCGCGTGACACAGAGAAACTAAGTCAACAGATTGCCCTAATGGTTTAATGGAAACAAAATACAGGAATACAGGGAGGTCCAAAGGTATGTGGACAGTGTCCATTTTGTACTCCAGCACTTATGATTTTAAATGATACAATGACTACTAGGTTAAAGCGCAGACCATGGACAAATTCACTTACAGTGGGGAGAACAAATATTTGATACACTGCCGATTTTGCAGGTTTTCCTACTTACAAAGCATGTAGAGATCTGTAATTTTTATCATAGGTACACTTCAACTGTGAGAGATTGAATCTAAAACAAAAATCCAGAAAATCACATTGTATGATTTTTAAGTAATTAATTTGCATTTTATTGCATGACATAAGTATTTGATACATCAGAAAAGCAGAACTTAATATTTGGTACAGAAACCTTTGTTTGCAATTACAGAGATCATACGTTTCCTGTAGGTCTTGACCAGGTTTGCACACACTGCAGCAGGGATTTTGGCCCACTCCTCCATACAGACCTTCTCCAGATCCTTCAGGTTTCGGGGCTGTCACTGGGCAATACGGACCTTCAGCTGCCTCCAAAGATTTTCTATTGGGTTCAGGTCTGGAGACTGGCTAGGCCACTCCAGGACCTTGAGATGCTTCTTACGGAGCCACTCCTTAGTTGCCCAGGCTGTGTGTTTCGGGTCGTTGTCATGCTGGAAGACCCAGCCACGACCCATCTTCAATGATCTTACTGAGGGAAGGAGGTTGTTGGCCCCATCCATCCTCCCCTCAATACGGTGCAGTCATCCTGTCCCCTTTGCAGAAAAGCATCCCCAAAGAATGATGTTTCCACCTCCATGCTTCATGGTTGGGATGGTGTTCTTGGGGTTTTACTCATCCTTCTTCTTCCTCCAAACACGGCGAGTGGAGTTTAGACCAAAAAGCTCTATTTTTGTCTCATCAGACCACATGACCTTCTCCCATTCCTCCTCTGGATCATCCAGATGGTCATTGGCAAACCTCAGACGGGCCTGGACATGCGCTGGCTTGAGCAGGGGGACCTTGCGTGCGCTGCAGGATTTTAATCCATGACGGCGTAGTGTGTTACTAATGGTTTTCTTTGAGACTGTGGTCCCAGCTCTCTTCAGGTCATTGACCAGGTCCTGCCATGTAGTTCTGGGCTGATCCCTCACCTTCCTCATGATCATTGATACCCCACGAGGTGAGATCTTGCATGGAGCCCCAGACCGAGGGTGATTGACCGTCATCTTGAACTTCTTCCATTTTCTAATAATTGCGCCAACAGTTGTTGCCTTCTCACCAAGCTGCTTGCCTATTGTCCTGTAGCCCATCCCAGCCTTGTGCAGGTCTACAATTTTATCCCTGATGTCCTTACACAGGTCTCTGGTCTTGGCCATTGTGGAGAGGTTGTAGTCTGTTTGATTGAGTGTGTGGACAGGTGTCTTTTATACAGGTAACGAGTTAAAACAGGTGCAGTTAATACAGGTAATGAGTGGAGAACAGGAGGGCTTCTTAAAGAAAAACTTACAGGTCTGTAAGAGCCGGAATTCTTACTGGTTGGTAGGTGATCAAATACTTATGTCATGCAATAAAATGCAAATTAATTACTTAAAAATCATACAATGTGATTTTCTGGATTTTTGTTTTAGATTCCGTCTCTCACAGTTGAAGTGTACCTATGATACAAATTACAGACCTCTACATGCTTTGTAAGTAGGAAAACCTGCAAAATCGGCAGTGTATCAAATACTTGTTCTCCCCACTGTATGTGTATTAAAGTTGTCAAAAGTTTAGTATTTGGTCCCATATTCCTAGCACACAATGACTACATCAAGCTTGTGACTAAATAAGAATATAATGTTTCTAAACACTTCTACAGTAATGTGGATGCTACCATGATTACAGATAATTCTGAATGAATCGTGAATAATGACAAGTGAGAAAGTTAGAGGCACAAAGACCATACCCCAAGACATGCTAACCTCTCAACTCCCAATAACAGGGGAGGTTAGTATGTTTTTGGGGAGTATGATATTTATGCCTCTAACTTTCTCACTCATCATTATTCACAATTCGTTCAGGATTATCCATAATCATGGTAGCATCCACATTAATGTAGAAGTGTTTAGAAACATATTATATTCTTATTTGCAATAAAGTTGACTCCAAAATGACACAACACATTATTTACCTTTCATTTATATTGGGCACAAAATTATCTGAAACACAACCAAAACAAACTGCAAATGCATCCAACAACTTTGTATAGTCACAAGCTTGATGTAGTCATTGCGTGCTAGGAATATGGGACCAAATACTAAACTTTTGACTACTTTAATACACAAGTAAATTTGTCCAAATACTTTTTCCAAAGTGGTGGAACAACAAAACATTTGTCAAAAACATTGCAGTGAGTGTGCAGTATAACTGCAGTACATTGTAGTATAACTGTAGTTAGAGTGCAGTACACTACAGTTATTCTGCAATTACTGCGTCCAAAATACCACAGTCGACTGCAGTTACTGCACTTTTACTAAAGTTTTGAAACTGCAATCTTTTTTGTAAGTTACTGTCCAAATACTTTTGGACCTCACTGTATATTTGTGTCTGATTTTCTCTAAGCAAAGAAATTCATTTAGACAGTTAACGTTATTGTGCACAAGAAACTAAAGGACTTTAATTTGACTTCCTTGAACATTCTGGCTATTTATTTTGAAGGGTTTAATTATCAGAATCTCTGGCTAAATAGGTGTGCATATGGTTCTGATACACTCACTGCTCTCCAAGACTAAAAATAGACACCTGGACCCAGATTCACAAAACACTACTTACACAAAAAATGAAGAAGCTTCTTAAGGAAAAAAATAAGAAGTTCATGAGATAGTTCGTAAGTGCAATTCCTCAACAATATCTTAAGATTTAATGATTTTCTTACGAACTTCTCAAATAGCTTGTTACTAATCTTCTTAAGATGTTGTTGCTAGGCAACCGATTTAGCTAGCAATGGCAATCATGTTAGCATATTTTGTACTGAGATTACTGTTCTAAAACATGTTCTTGGGTTTAAAATAATACGTTTGTGAGTGAATTAAACATGTTCAATTGCTTTCCTGAGTTTATTCTCTCACTGCCCTGAGTTTAAGACAAGGGTTTAGCTATCTTGGAATTAAGAACATTTCCATGAACTTTATTTTCAATAATCTAATTTCTTCCTAATTTTTTTGCTTAAGGAGAAACATAAGAAACAGCGCAAGACATTTTTCAAGAACCTTTTTGAGGAATAGAAACTTTGCTTAACTTTCTTTATAAGTGTATAGTTAAGAAAATAATGTAAGTTTTTGAAGAAATGTCTTAAGAAGGTTTTGTGAATCTGGGCCTGTTCATCGTTGTCTGACACTACTTATCTCCAACAATGCAAATGGTCTGACTAAATAAACACTTTGTTGGCAGGTGATTCTTCTGGTTGGCTAGGTAACGTTAGGTTCACAGGAATACATGTTAAGTGCGCTGCATGGTGAATCTGACGTATGCATTGGCTGTGCAGCATTTACTGTGATATTTTATGGCCTCTGCAGAAGTCAGGACATTCATACTTCTTGCGCTTAAAGGAGCAGCGCTGAGCTGTTGAGTAGAACTGTTGTGAAGGAAGTTGTCAAGGAAGTGAGTTTGTGTTCATACAGGACCTCTCGCCCCCACCTACTGTCAACCAATCATGTCAATGTGGAACTATACAGAGCCCTTCACGTTATTAAAACATGTGGGAGGAGCACCGCGATGCGGTACAGTGACAATTTGGCCTCCGGAGGCTCCGAGATTATGTAACAATTTCCACATGGAGCCTCCGACAACATTTTCGGATCAAACATAAATTGGCATTTAAAGTTAGTTAGGCTACTGAAGGCGAATCAAAACATTACTGGGTAATGGTAACTGAAGTTAACGACTAGTTGTCTTCGTATTTATGCCAGCAAGCAAACATGTCGAGCTAGCTATTGGACGTCTCCTGTAAACCCATATTTTGGTTCTGCTAGCGATAAGACGTTCTAGCTTGCTAACACCATTGACCAATTGCTAGCTAACCGCGAAGTCTCTAACACAGAAACAGCAGCATGAAAGGATTTGGTTGTGCTACTTACACAGCTAGCAAGGGAGCACAAGGCCATGCAAGCCCACAATTTCTAACCGATGTCTTCTTCTTCTCTGGTATTATGGCGGTCCACAAACAAACGTTAAAGGTGCATGCCACCACCTACTGTACGGGTAGTGAACGAAAGAAAATCAATTGCCATTACCACATTCGCCACATTTGGCTCCATGTGAACTACAATTCCGACGCAGTGTTTTAACGTTTAGAAATGTAAATCATTGCTTTCGAAACATACGCTGATATGCCCCCCCTTACAAAAAATATTATAATTTTGAAAGTGCAGTAACTGCAGTCAACTGTGGTATTTTGGACGCAGCAATTGCAGAATAACTGCAGTTGA